GGCTCAGAGTTGAGGTTACATCAGTGTGTACTATAACTCTGTACTTCACAGATAGCAGAAATCTGTACCTGAAAAATCCTCAATCCTACTTTTTTTTTGTTCCCCAGAAGTTTCACGTTGTAACTTTTTCCCCCCATGTTTTTTTAAATGCCTTTTTTTGACATGAAATTTCTGTGAAAACAAAAGTGTTATTTGTTGGCTTTTGAAAGATATTGCTCTTGCAAAAATAGCTAAATATACAGTTGTAACCTTGAGGGATGCAGACAGTTAAAGCCTTTTGGTATTCCGAAGTATAAACTTCCCTTATTAAATATGTTCTAGCATTGACTGTAAATAATGGCTGTGCCCTGAAAATTTTGGAATGTAATGTCATGTGTCAAAAAACCAAGAAAGTCATAAATAAAATCTTAAAAATTATTTTTGTTAGAATTCAGTGGACATCTCACTGTACTATGTTATGTACATGTCCACTTTTTGGATATTGTATAACCAAACAAATTATTTCTACCAAAATAATTGTCTATATAAGGAAATAGGTACTCCAAAAGCCACATTTCCCTATTCCTGTCCTTGGTCTGAAATTTAGAACCCACTTTCTACAATAAATTGATTTTAAAACCCAAGAAGATATAATGCTTGTATGAGATAAGCATGCACCCTTAAAATGCTAACCTTTTAAAGTTATCTTTTCTGCCATAATAGATCTTTTTTAGAGTTTACCATCAGAATGACTGCATGGGTTTTTCCTACTATTCTGTCTTTTTTTACATTTTAATTGAATTTTCATTTGTTTTCTTTCAGACACTTGTCTTGCCAATTTTTTTCCTTTAGTCAGACAAGTCTATCTGATCTGTATCAAAGCTATGTTTTACTTTGGAAGATCTTTACCAGTTTATTGCATTAAATGAAAAGCTACAGGCGCACTGTGCTGACAGTCTTCATAACAATTCAGAGGTTTCTGTTTACAGAGGAAATTGACTATGTGTTGAAGCAGTAGGAAACTTTTTCTTCCAAAATTGCAACTGTGATTGATTTTCCCAATATTAAAACTGTGTCATGATGGATCACCGTTAGTACTTTGATTGCTAATAATGATCATAATTATCACCATAAAGGTATTTTTTTAATGATTCTGGGTCAGCTAACAATCCTGACATTGTGCGTTCCCATATGAAAAGTGTTTTTTTAAGTGTTTGAGTCTAGTAGATTCCTTTATATGCTAGAAATTAACAAGCAGTGATAAAATATGCCAATGATATGTTAGGGAAATTAAATTCTCTGTTATTGGAGGTTTAAGATCATTTGTTGAAAGCACTTGAGGCACAGCTGCTCTTGCTACAGTACTGGGACAGAAGAAAGATTGTGTGAATTATTGATAAGATTCAACAAACTTGATGAGGAAGTGCAGTTAAGGATCTGAAGACCATCTTAAATGGTGACAGAAAGCAGTTGTGAAGGAATCTAGCTTTAACAGCTGTTGAATCAAATATAAACTCAAGAGAAACTTCTACTCTTGTCTGCCCAAAACCCATATAAGTAGACCCTTGGTAGCCTCCAGTTCATTCAGTGAAAAAGAAAGCAGGACAGCGTTCTGAGCACATAATTTAAGATTTGGAGTTTCACATGTTTTGTGTTCTTTCTCCCTTAGTCTGCATGTCATCAAGAATAAAAAATACTAAGGAACCTTTGTTGTGTTTATAATTCCAAACTGGATATCTAATTCTGGGAAGACTAAGTCTTCCAGCCAAAGGACCACTGCGCAGCCCAACCTCTTAAATCAAACGTAAGTTGCCTGAGCGCTTTACAGAGTTTCAAATTTTTCTTCAAAATTCTGTGAAGAGGAGACTCACAAAAAGAAAGGGATTTTAACCAGTTTCAACTCGTTTATTCCTGTGGGGATTTCACAGTTTTTGAAACTCACATTGTCTAAAACTTTCATATTGGTCCTGTTCTTCATTAACATTATTCTGATTTGTACCATCCTCTTATTCTGGGCACATGGTAATTTAGAATAAGAAAATAGTTTAAGATTATGATCGTTTGCTTCTTTATTTTAGTCACTACAAAAAAGTTAATGTTGAATAAGGAACTATGTAGCTTTACTGTAGTAAATACTTGATATTCACTGTTGGAAGTTATACAGCCATACTTCTCATGGTGGCAGATAAAACAGAAAACTTTCAAGGGTGACGAAAATGTTCTAACAAAAATTGAAAACATAGGTTCAGGTTTATCTAGGTATTTGAGTCAAGATAGTTAAGAGGCTTCAAAAAAACTGTAACCCATGAGTGAAGTTAAAATTATCTTTGATGATAACTACAGTTCTTTATGTTCAATGAATAAATCAGGGCAGTTTCTCATCTTCCTACACTCAATACCTCCATTAAAGAAATCTACCATGCCTCCTGGGAAATAAGGTACTCTTCAGAAAGAGAAAGTGCACAAAGTCCTTTACCATCATGTTGCCATGTTACCAGCCACTGGTACTAGCTTACCATGTAAAGACCATCATTCTTTACATAACTTTTGCTTAAGAAGGTGCCTGGATTTTGTAAAGGATATTATGGATTAGTTTCTTGTTGCCATTTACCTTTTGTAATCAATTTCATATTTTTTTCTTCTTTCAGAATCATGTAATACCTTGACAGATACTCTGTGACACTAACTAATGATGCCATGAAGAGCTGTGAATAAGTATATACAGATGATGCATCAGTCTTTCAAAGTGTAATTTAGTTCTCAGAAAAATCTTACATGCTTTGCATTTTATAATCTACAGTGTTTTGTATGTACAGTAACCATTTTTCTGTGCCATTTTACACTATTTTGTGATAAAATGTTATGACTTTCCAAAAGGCCAAGTGACAACTGGATGTCAGAAGGACCTGCCTCACTTTGTCATTTGAAAAAGTAAACAGCAAGCAGTTTTAGCCTAGCGTAAGGATTTTTAAACCACATACCACTAGCAGACTTTGTGGTTTAGGACATTTCTATAAAAGACAACTTAGCCTTGGCAATCTAACTGTGTAAGATAGTAATCTACAAATGGAATATTTTATTTGCACTGGCTGCTATAAAATAAAGAAGTGACTGAACTTAATTTTCACTGTTGTTTCCAACTATCTGTGTCCATCTTCCTCCTGATTCTGAGATGTATGCATCCTGTTAATAATACTCTTATGCAGTAACTCTGTGTTTCATGTAAGGCAACATGCTTTGCATTAGGATGCCAAGTTATTGTGACTGAGTTTTTTTATCCTGTCACTGGAGATTACTTTCAAAAATGGAGATTTTTCAAGTAAAATATTAGTGGTTCTTGAACAAGTGTTCTACAGTTCATTTAGCATCCTGCTTCATAAGCTGCAGAAGAAATTGGATATTTAGACTTTTTATCTATTGGTTGTCCTCATAGTAAAAACATTTAATTAAAATGAACTTTTCAGCTGCTGTCCAAGAGCAGAGCCTGATATCACTAACACAAACCCTCAGACCAGTTCTGCTGTTCAGTTAGAAGTTTTCATTAGTTTAACCCCTCTTGAACTGCATTCTGTAACTTAGCGAGGCAAATTTTCCAAGTAGAAGCAATAAAACAGGCAGGAGAAAGAAGCAGTAGAAGAAGACAAAAGAAGTATAGGAGTTTTCTCCCGCAGGCTCAGAAAGAGCTACTTAGAGCCCTAATGCTCCTGTGAAGGAAAATTAAGATCTCTCTGAAATATGGATTGAATTTCCAGTACACGCTTTTACTATAAGCCATTGTTACCCCTTTGAGCTGCACTCAGAAATGAAGTAACCACAAGAAGTGCAAAAGCTAAGTGAAAGACAAAACAGGTCACTATAGTCAGAATACCAATAGCTTTTAGATGCTATTTTGAACACAACTCCAAGCAATGTGATTAATCCATTGGTGTGATTTTCCTATCTTTCTGCTACAGAGGTAACATGCATTACACTGAAGTCTCTAGTTAAAGGGAGCCATCTTCACCTAATGAAGAGCAATAGTGGAAAAGCAGCTTAGCCTAAAGGGATATTTCTTCAGTCTCTAGGACTACTAGGTTCACCATCACTTTTTAGATGGAAATAGTTTCCATTGAGTAATAGTGACCTGATCTGCTTCTTTCTTTCCAACCAGTTATGATATGGGAAATGTTAATTTTGGTACACAAACACTGGGAGAATGGGAATTTGAAAGTCAGCCACAGAAGATAACAGTTTGTCACTTTCCTTTAGTGAATATTCAGAGAAGTGCTGTGTTAGCCCAAAGATGAAAGGTGTCTACATCAGGCCCATGTCTTTTTGTAGCTCTGCTGTGATCAGTAGGCAAAATAAAATCATACCAACAGAGGTGTCATTCCCACCAACAGTAGTGAGTAGAAAGAAGCTGCTACTTGAAATAGTGCTGATTTGCCCTTACCTTTCAGAGAAGTGGCATAATTGGAATCTTATTTATTAATATATAGATATTATACTAGAGTATTATGGACAGAAAACTGGTAATAAACACTGCTACATTACAATTTAGCAAAATAAAATCAATCTTTTACACACTCCTTTTAACAAGCCCTACTGACCAAGTTAGAAAGAGGACTGTACTAGTCCACAACACCACTAGTGGTGCTGACTAAATATGAAATCTGAGCCCAGTGAAATCAGTGACAAGTTTCCTACCGATCATGCAGAGCCAATATTTTTGCCCTAATTACACAGAGTTAGCCAGTATAAGGTTGGCAACCATGTCCCAAGAGATCAGAGATATTTCAAATCAAGTAGAGTTTCTAGATGACAGCAACAGTTAAGCATCAGGAGAGCTAAAAATGCACCATTAATAATATATACGACTGTCATCATGGAAAATGAATTTTTTTACAACCTCATAGCCAGCATTTCCTAATTAAAAAAAAAAATAAAAATTAAAATACACTCTGTTAATATATTTACTGACAAAACATTCCAGTCACTGTACTAGTAAGAGCTAACATGACAATAGTTTATTTTCATGAATACAATATACAGTATCATAAGATTGTGGAGATATGTCTATCAAATCCAAGAAAAGAATGTGACAGCCACATTAAACAAAAATGATAAATCACAAATATACTGAAAGCAACAAACCACTGTAAAGCTTATAGTCATCCATGGTAATTTAAATTATTAACAATATCTAAAAGTTCATAAATGCATAGTAATACATTGATACTAGTCTTAGCTTGTAATAACTATACTGTAGATTTGAATAGTCTATCACTTGTCACAGATCATGACATAATTACACATAGCACTAGTCTATGAAATAAGTAACAGAGCTCAGTATGTTTACTATTCAGTAACTACAATCACTCACATCAGGAATAATTACCTCCTGAAATTATTTTCATCCCCTTCTGTGTATGTTAGCACATATAAGTACACTTCTCTATTTGAGTTATATTTTCTAGCAAAATTACTGGCATATCAACTTCTAAGGGATCGTGCTCATCTGAAATCTTTATGCAAAATCCTTTGAAACAGCTTCTATAAAATTTGGAGCAGACATGAGTATTGTAAATGTGCAAATGATGGCGAAAAGGGTAAATGCTACCAGGCATAATCTGTCTATGACAGCAGCTGCAAACTTCCACTCACTGCAGATCTCTTCACCCTCATCTTGTTTCCTGAAGCGCATTGCTATGAACTGAACTTCCTCCAGAATCTTCACAATCACTGGAATAGTATCTGTTAAAGCTTTCTTTTGAAGAAGGTCAGTATCTTCTGGTAAGGAGCAAGCAATCTTCCCACTCTTGCTACCTAGATCATTCTTTTGGGGGCAGCATGGATTATCCTTCCCATGGTAGCTATAGATTGTGTTGCCATTGCTGGACTGGTGGCCAGGTAGTACATTCATCTCCATGCTGCTTACGCTCAGGTGGTGCTTGGGACAGCTATATTTGCAAGAGAGGGGCTTTATATTTTCCCCAGGTTTTTTCATTCGTAAAAACCAAGCACACCAATTTAGCAGGATGACACGGACCTGAAAGAGAGTGATCATAATAGAAATAAAGGCAACTTTCCTGCATTTCTAAATTCTTTGAAAAAATTTTGTGACTATTATAGTTAGCCTCTATGGTCCTTTAGAAAGACTGACTGATTTCTGTGTTCTCCAGCTATCTGCTCTGAAATGAGTTTTTTCGCAGAAGGAATCTGGCTTCTTTCCAAAGATGACCTTTTCTTAGATACGTCTTAAATATAGAGTTGTTGAATGTACACTTAGCTTACAAAGCAAAAAAGGTGTAAAATCTTACATTACAAAATGATTCTTGAAGTCCTATCTTTAGCAAACAGTCACAGATTTGCAAAATTGGCTGCATGTTTTCCAGCCATTTCTCAGACAGTATGGAAAGAGATACACCTAAACATTTGTGGGTTCAATAATTAGATTCTGCTGAAAAAAAACAACCCTATGCAACAGCCTAACAGCTGGTTTTAGCACATGTCCCCCCTCCCCCCCAATCTCTATTGTTTAACTCTAAGTAAACAACCTTGGTTGTTGTTCCTTGTTGTTGTGTTTTGGTTTTGTTTTGTTTGTGATTTTTTTTCTTAATTTGAAAGTCATTTTAACATTCCTTTGAAGAGTTCAGCCACATAACACAGCAAACTCTTTACAAAAGCATAATAGTAAATCAACCAAATTAGGCAGTACAAAATCTTAATGTTGCTACTAACTGCTGCCATGTCCCTGTGCTCTGGTGTAGAAGTGCTCTGGCACATTACAAAAGCTCTCTAACCTGCACATGGCAGATTGTGCCCCATATGTTTCTTGTCAAGGTCATCAAATGAGCTAACACCAGAGAGTATGTCCAGCATTTTTTCCCAGTGAATTGATCTTCAGATGCCTTGTCTGAAATCTCAGTCTGCTATGCTTTCTATTGTTAGCACTGTTTTCTGAGAAAGGCAGTAAAAAAGGCTGAGAAATCAGAAACACAGTAATTTAGTTAGGACAGCTAACTAAATCTGTAAAATCTTGTAATTATAAAGTCCCTCAGATATTACGTATACAAAATGGACATTTGCAGTGTGTGTGTGAAACTTCCTCTGGGATGATAGGTAGACTCATTTAATGAGTTTGTTATTCTGGTTACAAGCCAAATAATCTGATGTCCAGGAGTGAACAGACATGACTTGGCCCAAGACTCCCTTTGTGATCCTGCTCCAGTCACTTTGGCCATGTTTGACTCAGGACCACACTTTGCCTCCAAGGTTTAGTTGCAGGATGAGTTGTCTCCTGTGTTTACACAGAACAGACACAGGAATGGGAAAATTATAGCTAACACTTTGAGTTGCTGCTGTAATGACAAGCATAATTTCAGAAAGGAGGAGGCACTGCATACCACAGGTGGGAATAATAATAGCAAAAGCCCAAAACAATGACCAATGTAAGATGGTTATACAGTTTCTGAATTCTGCATTGTGAGCTCTTTTGAATCACAGGTCCGTGACATTTTCTGTAAGCCTTTCTGCTTCTCTCCCACTAATGGATCTTTTATACTTCATCCTGAAAGACTATTTTCCTGTGATTCATACTGTGGTTTCATTGTGGTCTTTAAATATTTTATTATTTCCTCCATGGTCAACACAGACAAGTAGAAAACTATAATGAGGCAGCATAAAAAATTGATCGTGTATTTAATTGAACTTAGTTAATTACAATGTCCTCTGACTGCTTATGGACATAAAATGGAGCATCATGGAACAAAATAAAGGTCTTAATTGCTAGCAATATCTCAACAGTATCCATGGTAGAGGAGAGAGAGAAATTAGTTATCCAGTACTGTGAAATCCCAAAATACTAAACCAGACAAACGTTATTATTAGAAAAAGTTAATACATCTGTCTTAGCTCTAGAATGTGCCTAAACTTCCAAAAGCCTTGTTTACTTGAAAACAGACACTCGGACATCAATCTGTTCTTATCATACCAGTTAATTGAGAAGACAGCTGCAGCATGAGTTGTTGGAAAACAGTCCAGACATGATGGTATGGAGCTGTGACCCATGCCTGACTTTGTCTGCTCCCAAACTGCTTCTTCGATGGACCTTCTTTAATGCTCTTTACCATGCTAGCTAAGTTGACATTGTCAAAAGTGCCAAGAAGCCAGTAGCTCTCACTTTTCAACCAAGTATCCAACAAATGCCCTGACTGCACACCTTGGATTTAATGTCTCTGCTGGAAAACACTGGATTTAGTAAGTCATCAAAGATTAATAGAAAGGAAAACACAATTCTCAGTGGTGGAGTAAGGGAAGAAGCGGGCATCTACAGAGAGGCTAGCTACTAACATGCACACCTCCTTCTCCTTCTGGTTCAAAGGCCAAGCACAGAGCCCTTGAGAGACAGGGAGGGAAAAAAATGCTGCTCAACTGTAAGTAGTTTAGAAAATGGGTGTTTAGGCAATGCAGTCAAATTTTTGAGATGTGAAGCTGGTCCCACACAAGACCAATGTCTTCCCCTACAACTTCCTTCAATAGCTAATTCCATTTAAGCAGGAGGTGAGAACAGCCCTGTAACAATATCCAATGAACCAGGGTTAGAGCTTTGCAATAAACCGATGTCTGGTTCTGCCCCACTTTTGTGGGGTCAGCCTCTTCCCTATATGCTTGGCACTCACCCTTTTTTCTTGAGATCTCACAGCCCTGTCAGCTTGCCTGATCTACAGCATTCACAGCCTATCATCTGTGCTTCCCAGTAATGGCTTCCATAGTTTTGCTTCCCAATAACATTTTGTTTTATATATATGCCAGCTCAGCTGTCAGGCAATTGAACAAGGCTCCTCAAAAGTGAGAATCTGTTGCATGCTGAGTTTCCAACCAAGAGAGCAAGAGACTGGTAGAGAGCAAGAGCTGACTTGCAGGAACTGTGAGCAGATTTAACATGAGCCATTGTGTCTAGGCTCCTCAAAAAGCAGACAAAACAATAGAATTGTCCATGGGGGCTGTTGTGCTGCCACATACCCTGTCCATGTAGACATCTGAAGCACATTTACTGAGATTTATGCTCTCAGGTCTTGCTTACACACAGGTTCATCCAGAACTCACATGTGCCTCTGTTTTGAAAGTAAGATGATTTTAAACAATACAGCACTTTAAAAAATTGTTAGTATGGTTAATTGCTACTGGAGTTGTTCTTTGTTTGTTTTCTTTTAATTTGCATTGATGCTCCAATTTGTTTTTAGAGAGGCTAAATTAGAAAGCTGTTTTGTGCTCAGGATGACATTGGTAACCGTATGACATTCAACATCATGTCAGGATAACTGTCTAGCATAACAAATGTGGTGAGTGAGATACCAGAGGATGTTGTACAACCAGACTTCTGTGAAACCCAGGTGGGTAGATAGTTGACTGTATCTGTTTCTGCTTTCATTCCTTTGGTTTTTGTAAGCACAAAGTATACCTTGCTTATTCTAAAATCTATTCTTAGGAAAGAGAAAAAAAAAACACATCATTTTCTTCTAACTTGAAAATGTAAAGGTAACCCATTCTTCCTAAGGGCCAGCTAGCATTGGTACCAGACCTCAGTGGGCTAACCTAGTCTGCTGCTGTAGAGAAAAGAGGGTCCACATGTTAATGCACTGAGAACTGATCAGATGATAGCAGTCAAAATTGTTTTTCCACACAGAGAAATGCATATGGTTCAGCAAACGGCAGATTTCCAAGCCAGGGAAGCCCAGAGGTCTCCTCAGTACAGTTGGACTAACACTGCAATGTTGTCACTCTATTTCTGCTGGTAGTACAGTAACTGAGCTCCAAGAAAGACGCGAGAAGCATAGCTGAGTTCAGTATTCAACACTCTTACCACTCTGTGGTATTGCGGTTTCTGATCTACCAGCAACTCAGAGAGCCAGCTCATAACTGAAACAGTTGCAGACAGAAGTCAATTGGCTTCATCTCCTGTCTTTCTTTCAGGAGATTACAGCTCTGTCATAAACTACAGTGAGAAACTCTGTAAAAGGCACAACGTAGGCAATTGGCCCAGCAGAGACTAGTATGTGTTTGTTTAGTACTTTGAAATGTCACATTCTATTAGTACTGGAGTCAACTGGATAAGAAATCAAGTTTGTCCACAGGATTAACACTTGCAAAAGTGCTGAATAAGATTACTCTGCCATGGTTCAACCACCCCTTTTTAAATTTAAATAAAACCTAAATAACAGATACTGATTTTAATGCAAAACCAAATTTAGTAAGTTTGTTCTTTTCCTCCAGTAGCAAACTTAAGTGTCAAACATATTGTCTGTAGCTAACTGTTCAGATCAGTGGAGAACAATTGTCCCTCATCTATAACTAGTTTATTTTAGCTTTTAGATTATTTTGTTCTTTCAGTAGGCTGTTGAATATTTACCAACAAAGCTGCTTACCCATTTGGGCATCTTTCCTGCTTGTGGGTCATGATGGTGAAACTGCAGAACCAGCACTGTTACCACCACAGACAGTCCAACGATGACCATGATGCTAGCAAAATACTGAGCTGCAAGTAAAAGAAGACTTTGTTAGGAAGGGAGAACACAAACAGAAGGCAAATAATATTCATTGGTATTGCCTTGAGATCTACATCTGAGAAGCACTGCAGAACATCCAAACATCCTCTTCTCTGGAGTTCCGTTTTGGAGCATTTGAGGCCTTTGAGGTTTTCAGTGTATCTGCTCACCTACCTCCTCTCCAGCAAGGGAAGCACTAGAACTAGTGAAGGGCATAAACTGCTTGGTTTTGTTCCTAGAGAGGAATGTAAAGCTCCTTGCAAAGGACCAGCTCCCTGCCTGTTGCCAGGACAGCAAGAAGCTGAGCTGACCAGACCAACTGAGCACCAGCATCCCCAGTGCTGGTCCACCCCACGATACCAGCAGAGGTGCTGCATAGTGTCCTCACAGTGTCTCTGGAACCCCTCAGAAAGTGTCACCATACCCCACTCCCTCTCTCACCCCACCACTGTTCACAAGGGGTTAGGCATATTTTTTAGCACCCTCCTCAGCCCCTTAAGACCACTTTTTTTTGTTCCTATGAAAGCACCCTACACCCTTGCTGAGTGCTAAATTTTAGCCTGCCATACAGAAAAGAAATCAATATCTTGAAAGCAAGCACTGAGACTTGAAGCTGTATCTCCTAACTGGCAGTGTAGCTTCCTCATGCCAGGACTGAGGCTGATGCACTGAAGTGTAAAGCGGATTTACCCACAGGGCTAATGACATTTGAAGGTGGTTGTGGCGAAATATCAGAGAGCATTACCACTGGCTGATATGATGGGGCGATGTGGGACAGCATGTGACACTGCCCCAGACTGCAATATCCTCCCTCCCTCAGTCCTCCCTCCTGCTGCTTGCAGGAAAAGTCAGAAATTCAATACAAGCTCCAAGACAAGTTTTGTTCCAGCTCTGTTCTTGATACAGATTCTCACTGCCTCAGCAGCGAAAAGCTTTTTCATAATAATGAGGTTCTCAGCCTTCCTGAAACAATGCTGCAATTGCTTCAAGAGGTAGGCATGGCTTTCCATGGCAAAATAAATTAGGCAGATAGATTAGAAGAATACTCCTGAACGTGATGTGAATTGAAGGGTGTCTGTTGTACTTATGAAAGAAAAGTCAGGCAGAAGTAGAGCAAAACAGGAACTCAGGTTTCAGGGAAACTGGCTGATCTGATTCCCATATGGCCCTTGTAACAGAAACACAACAGTATTGCTACTGCTGGTTTAATTACTGCCATAAATCACTAAATTAGTTCCATAATTTCTACACATTTTGATGCTGCTAGAATTCAAAGGCCTGAAGTGGTCCATTTAAAGTGGCATTGGCTGGGATTTTTCACAGATCCTTGGAAAATTAGCCACCTGAATTAACTTGGAAACAACTTGGCATTATCTGAATCAAGATCCCAGCCAATGATTACCAGAGGAATTCACACTCTCGGTTTTTTGCACCATAAACCCAGGAACAGAGGGCAGGAACTATGGAGAATTGATAGTAAATAGGAAAAAGAGTTTTCTCAGGAACAGACTGGAACTGTAGAGGACCTGTGGACTCATAAAGAAAGATGTTTTATGGTTGTGATAGACAAGGAAGATAGCTGGGTGTCCATCATCTGCATTTTGGGGTGGGGGCACTTCTGTTCAAGGTACAGTGAAGTTTTCAATTGGAAAGTAAGGATGGAGGAAATAGAATGTGGTACTTCAGCTGTATTACCAATATCAGGCAATCAAATGTCACAAGATATCTGTGAAATGAGCAGGTACCTATGCTGGGCTACCTATGCAGCCCAGGTAGGTACAGGTGCTGTTTTCATTTCAAGGGGAAATGAATTTCACATTCATTTTCATCCAGAACCCTGGAGCAGCTCAGACCTACTCTAGGGCTGGATTTCACCAGTCCTAAAGAACCAGCAGCAAAAGGGGAGTAAGGAAGTAGCAATGGCTGGCACACCTGCCACATCAGCCTTTCACATCTCTAGTTGGGGATATGATGAAGGCTGTTGCCTCCTTTCCTGTGGCCAGAAAAGGCAGAGCTAGTTGCCACTGTTTACAAAGTAATCACTAGATCTTCCACCCATGAGTCTCTTGGATTGAAAGCATGACTCTGTGCTTACAATCCAATCCCTGCACTGGGGAAGAGCCACAGCCAGGGATGGCAAAGACCTAACTGGACCTAGGTTCAGTGACGATTCACCTGTAATTGAGTGGGTACATCCATGAGGCAAAATGGTCTTGTCTCTTAAACGGTATCCATACTCAGCATTTTCTGATCTTTCCCTCAAGGGTTTAATCCTCCATCCTCTCTTTCCTGGCAGCAGAAAAACACAGTCCTACTGCAGCAGTCAGGACAACTGGTGGGGAAGACTCCTGTGCCACCTCTCATGCACATCCCTAAAAGCACAGCTTAATCCTCCTCTAGTATGCTGGTTCAGCATCTCTGTTCCTGTCCATCTTTAACCCTCACATCAGCAAGAGCAAGCTCATCACTTGGTGAGAGCGACAAGGGCTTCTGTCCCTTTTCACCTCTAGCACCACCTCTGGTATGACCGTAACTCAACCTTCTCCAGTGAGCCTGTGAGCAGAGGAGTCTCCATACTGAAAGGATCAAGCTACAACGTGCATAGATAACATGTTCCTCAAAGCCATGGGACTGCGGTCTTCACTCACCTTACCGTAGCCCCACACAGCCCTCAATTAGCAAACTCTGTTCCTGTGCCTCCACTGGTGTGCTTTCCTGTGAGATGTGGCATGGGAGACAAGCAGTGGAGTAAGAATTGAGCTTTGGTGTCCCAAGTGGCAAAGACCAGCCACCGGATTTCTTTTGCCAATATTTTAGGGTCTATCCTAAAAGCCTACAGCACTTATGCAGTTAAGGCTTTGAAGCTGCTGCTCCCACAAAGTCCCACCCCATGTGTCTGCTGGCAGGGGTAAATGCAAATCTGATTTTACAAAGAAGCTTTCATTTAAACTGCAGAAGGGAAACGCTCAGCAACTCTCACTAAGCGTCTCTCTGTATCCTACTTAAGAGCTCCTGGTTACTAGATCATTCCTGTTATGGATGGGTCACCTTGGATGCTTTACAAATTTCTTCACCATGGGCAACGTCAGGAACAGCAATTCCAGACCCCAGTGTATTTGAAAGAGCAGGGACTCTGAGCAGCTGCTCTGAGGCACAGCTGGGAAGAGACCAACCTCTTCTGGAGGGGAACTGGCTCATTGTACTCTCTGCCCTGGACAGCTGTCACAGGCCAGGAAAAGGGACCAGAAGACCTTTGTTTGGAGACCCTCAATATCCCTGACTTTACACAGATACATTCCCCAGTGATACTGAGGTCTGCACCATACACTGCTAGAAGCTCTTCATGTGTTTTTAAACCTGCACACAATTTTGTGTGTGTGAATGGAAAAAGTGTCTGGGATGCTCAGTTGAATCAGTGGCAACGGTTATTTGTTTTTACAGGCATCTTCAGACACTGCCTATATGAAAAGGATGGCAATGGCTTGCAATTCATAACTTGAGGGGCCTACAGCACCATTTTTGGACTTTCTCTCTTAAAAGAGCAAGAGATTTCAGGATTGGATACTGCGTCTTCCTTTTAGTTAAGGTATTTGTAGAGGGCACAGGAGAAGTGGTTTTATTGTGTTTTCAAACTCTTCTCCTAACACATACTTTTGAAGAACAAAACTGGGTGTTTGAAAAGTAAAACTGTTCTCCTTTTTTTTTTTTTTTTAAATACTGAAAAAGCATTCAGAACTCATGGCTTGGGGAAAAGCCCCTTAGGTCATAGGCATGAAAATAACAGCTGCTGCAAATGAGAACTTCTGTTTCACTTAAGAAGCTGAGCAGGGTCCTGGCACCAGCAAGATATTAGACATGACCACAAAACAGAGAGGGTGAAAGCACTCCACAAAACCAAAAAGAGGCAGTGTAGTGAAGTGGCAGCAGCTCAGAAGATACAGGCAGATGACAGAAGATGTAATAGAAAATGAGATTA